GAGCCGGATGTGCTGCACCTGCATGACATGGCTGCCTCCAGAGATCAGGATGATGCACGAAGTCCCCGTCCTAGCAGGATCCATCGTATCCCTGGACATCTGGAGGACTATGAGTTGTCCTACCATACACGTGGGCCAAGGCTGTCACCCAATCTAACAGAGGAGGTTATGATGGCACTGTCAGACTCCCACTACACAAGGAGGCCAGATGTGGAGGAGATAAGATGGCAAAGAATGGAGGATTGTCTAATTAATATCCAGCATCAGATGCGGTCTCTGCAAGTGACTGTACCAGAGTCCTGCGACATTAACAAACGTGTGCAGCGACTAGAACAGCTCACCTCTCCAGTGCCAAAGGGGGCATTAATGGAGGTGGAATCAATGGCTTCAGCTGTCTCCACACCAAATCCTACAGCCAGGGAGCCCAAATCAATTCAGGAGGGGGAGTACAGGGCCCGTCTGTGTGATGTCAGCTCCTTTAGCCCCAGTCCCCGGCACTTCCACTGCACACGTTGGGCCACCCACAGTGCCCTCTATGGATAGATCAGCGTCTGCCCCGAGATTCACTTCACCATGTCCTGACTACCATGTCACTATCTAGAGTGACTTCGCCTTACTGAAGAAAGGACTGGATAGTGTTCTTGGGCCTCACAAGCACTTGTCCGAGGATTATAAATATCAGATCTTGCTAGATCACTTGAAGTTCCCAAGTGCATTCCAACTGGCTAAGCGCTACATCCATGACCCAACTCCATATACTAGTGCAATGAGGGCTCTTGAGCAGAAGTACGGTCAGCCAAGACAACTGGTACAGAGTGAACTCAGCGCCATCCTGTGCACACCACACATAAAACCAGGTGACTCACAAGCCTTTGAAGCTTTTTCCCTGTCAGTTGCCAGTCTAGTGGGGATGGTTACCACAATGGACGGGGTGGCAGAGAGTGGACCGGTTACTCACCAAACTCCCTCTGAGTTATCGGGATAACTTTGCAGAGTACTGCCTTAACCGAGGGATCCTGCGGCCTGAATCAAATTGCACTTATACCCTCTATGATCTAGCCGAGTGGTTGGAGCACAAGACCCAAGCAATGCAGGTCTCCCGACGGGCCACGGAGCTGTATGCCTCAGAGAAGCCCTGGTTGGAGGGGAAAGTCAGTTGGCACTTGGAAACAAAACACAAACCCAAGTTGGCCTCTGTTTATTATGGACATGAAACCACAGCCACCAAACCACCTGCTGTGGCCCATCCAGGTCCAAAGGCTGTTGCGATGCAGAAGAAAAGAGAAAGTTTCAAGCCTTACTGCCCTTTCTGTGAAGGGATGGAGCATTACTTGAGTGGATGTAATGAGTTCTCCCGGCTGGATGTGGCTGCGGTTGTGGACTGGATCAGAGATAAGAATAAATGTTGGAGGTGTGGCCGGAACCATTCTGCTGACAACTGTATGCTCAAGAAACCCTGCAGCACCTGTGGTGAGCAACACCTCCTTGTATTACATGGCCTCGCCAAGGCTAAAGAGCAGAACCCCAGTATCCTGACCATGTGCACAGCATCCAGTGTCATCTATGTTGACCATCCCAGTCACTCTGGGAGAGTGATGTTGAAGGTGGTAAGAGTTCAACTCCACAATGGGAGAAAAACCATGGACACCTATGCTGTGCTGGATGACGGTTCAGAGAGAACCCTAATATTGCCTGCTGCTGTGAAGTTCCTCGGCCTAGCCCCGACAGATGAGGCTCTGGCCCTTCCAACCATCAGACAGAATGTCCTGCAGCTGCATGGGGGAAGCATATCATTGGAGGTGTCCACTAAAGCTAAGCCGAAGGTGAGGCATCAAATACTAAATGCATTCACAGCAGAACAACTGGCTCTGGCGGAGCAATCTTGCCCAGTGGAAACACTCAAAAGGAAGTATAGTCACCTGCAAAGACTACCCCTCACAGGTTTCAGCAAGGTAAAACCTATGATCCTGATTGGATCAGATCACCCGCACCTTATCACTCCGGTATGCCCGGTGATTCGTGGACCACCTGAAGGGCCAGTAGCAGTCTGCACGGAGCTGGGGTGGGCGCTGCAGGGACCTGCCAAGAGTCTTCCACATCCAGCGGCTGGACAGGCATGCTTGCACTCATCATTCCTCCCACAGACATCAGAGCTCTCCAAAGATGTTGAGAGGCTATGGCAGCTGGACGTCCTCCCGTTTAGTAATGAAAAGGAGGTCACCAGGTCAAAGGAGGACCAGCAGGCAATCGACAGGTAGAGGGAGTCCACCGATATGCTACTCCCTTGCTTCGCCGCACAGAGTTTCCTCAGGTGAAGGCACCTGAAGAGGCTGTCATGGCTCTTCGGAGAGCCAATGAGCGTCGGCTACGCAAGGACCCCAGCAGAGCACAGACATACAACAAAGAGATCAAAAAGCTGGAGAAGGCGGGCTATGTGATAAAGTTGACTCCAGAGGAGGTGCATGGTTCCACTGAATCCTGGTACATTCCACACCATCTTGTGCTTCACAACAACAAAGCCTGCCTAGTTCTTCAACTGCTCCTTCCTGTACCAGCAAACTGCCCTTAATGACCTCCTGCTGCCAGGCCCCACGCTTAGCCCCTCACTCCGTGGCGTGTTAATCCGATTCCGCAGGCATGCTGTGGCCATAAGCGGTGACATAAAGGCCATGTTTCATCAGGTGCGTCTGCTTCCCGAAGATCAGCCTCTGCTCCGCTTTCTTTGGAGGGATGGACAACAGGAGCGCCCACCTGATGTGTATGAATGGTGAGTGTTACCATTTGGTACGACCTGCAGCCCCTGATGTGCCACTTACGCTTTACAGCGGCATGTGCAAGACCACCGTGAGGGGAATGAAGATGTGTATGAGTCCGTCCACACAGCTTTTTATGTGGACAATTGTTTCCAGTCTCTTCTGACTCCCTGCCAAGCTAAACAGCTACTGGACAAAATGAGACAGCTACTGACCAGGGGAGGATTTGAGATACGGCAGTGGGCTAGTAATGTGCCAGAGGTGGTGTCCCACCTGCCTACTGCTGCCCGTTCTGACAGCTGTGAGCTCTGGCTGACCTTGGTTAAAGGCTGACCTTTAACCAAGCTGATCCACAGCTTACCCTACCACTGCAGAATACCATCTTGTGGACTGACTCTACTACTGTGCTGAGTTGGTTGCAGTCAGATTCCTGCCGGTACAAGGTCTTTGTCGGGACTCGAATTGCTGAAATCCAGGAGGTCACCAGTTCTCATCAGTGGAGGTATGTCACGTCAGCAGAAAACCCAGCTGATGACATCACCAGGGGGAAGGAACTCTGTAGTCTTTCGCCAGCCAGCCATTGGGCTCAGGGCCCCAAGTTCTTGCAACAAAGTTTGGCATACTGGCCCTCCCAACCTACTGGTAGGGCTGAGACTACAGATGAGCTGCGCAAGGGGATGCTATGTGGGCTTGTCACAGTGGCCCAGACTCCTACTCCAGACCCTGGCAACTTCACATCTTGGGAGGACCTTGTGAAAGCTACTTACCATGCGCGTCACGGTGTGGCTTCTCCTCAAATGACCGCCTCTGATCGTGTGGAAGCAGAGATAGCCATTTTGAAGTCAGCTCAGTATGACAGTTTTCTGGAGGAGATGATAGCTCTGATGAAGGGACGAACTCTGGCCCTAAATAGTCGACTTTGTTCGCTCCGCCCTGAGTATGATCCAGTTACTGGCCTGATCAGGGTTGGGGGACACCTGAAACGTGCCGAAGGTCTGGACTCAGACACCATACACCCTATTGTGCTACCTCCCGAACACCCGGTAACTAAGCTCTTTGTCCAACACTTCGACACGATTCTGTTGCACCCTGGTCCAGAGCGCGTCTTTGCAGAGATACGGCGCACTTATTGTGTCATTAGAGAGCGACAAGTAATCCAGAGATATCAAAGACAATGTGCAGAGTGCCAGAAATGGCGGGGGAGGCCTGCTCCCACCAAGATGGCTGATTTGCCTGCAGCGAGACTCCGGATCCACAAACCTGCTTTCTGGTCAACGGGAGTTGATTGCTTTGGTCCCTACACCATCAAGATAGGCCGGAGGCATGAGAAGCATTGGGGCATAATCTTTAAGTGCCTCACCACCCGATGTGTACACCTGGATTTGCTGCCAAGCCTGGACTCAGACGCTTTTCTCATGGCCATGCGAAGATTCGTCTCTCGTCGAGGTACCCCATTCGAGATATGGTCAGATCAGGGCACTAATTTCCGTGGGGGTGCTCGGGAGTTACAGGAAGCTTTCTCTATGATGACGCCCATTCTTCAGGCACAGCTGACAAAGCAGAGGATAACCTTTCATTGTAATCCACTGCATGCCCCCCATTTTGGGGGGACCTGGGAGATAAGGTCAGTTAAGGTCAGTTAAGGGGACACTCCAGGTCATCCTGAAGGATCAGATTGTGACGGAAGAAGTCCTCCGCACGGCTCTCCTTGAAGTAGAAGGGATTCTTAATGCAAAACCTCTTGGTTACGCATCCTCGGATATTGCTGATCCTGACCCCATTACACCAAATCTCCTGCTCATGGGGCGGCGGGACGCTTCACTGCCGCAGGTGGTTTAT